TGTCAAGGGGCAGTCTTTGCAACTGAGGAAACAAGTCTGTAGACATAGGCCTCTGAACATGCCCAATCTCATCTGAAACTGGGGAGAAAGTTTTATAAAAATAACAACTCATAAGTCTCAAAGAGCTGTTTTATATCTTAGAAATCAGGTAAATAAAAAATTATCTATTACTTCACTAATTTGTCTGTGAAATTTGATCGTGGGAGCTAATGCCAGGTTAAATGCATCTTCTATACCAGTTTTCTAGTTCATTTTCTGTTGCTACAACAAAATTCTTGAGGCTAAATAACTTATAAAGAGATGCTATTTCAACCCATAGTTTTGCAGCCTGGTTCAAGATCAGCTGGTTCTATTTGGTTTCTGGTGGGGACTTCTTGTACATCACAATATGGCAGATAGTACCATGGTAGGAACCCATGCAAGAGTGTCAACTCATGGTGAGACAGGAAGCTAGATAAATAGACTCAGGGCCTAGGCTTGCTCTTTTACAACAGCTCTAAGAACTAACCCATCCTATTAGATCAGCATTAAATCCTTTATTGGTAGTTTATGACCTAATTATCTTGCACTAAGTTATGACTTTTGTGGTGCTTGCATGGGATGATGGCATGAATAGTTGTTTATTCACTACAGAGGGCACCAATGACATACCAAAGGAACTTCTTTTTCCACCTAAATTGAATTTAGTGAGCCAGTAAATTTATTGAATATACTTATAGGAGTATGAATGAGCAGTTACAGCAGTGTGAATACCTCACAGAAAATGCCACCTCAGCAGGGGTGATGATTCTTACAAGTTGTGTCTCTGGAACTTCCTGCATGACTTGCATAAATTTAGCTTGTCACAGCCTCTTTCTGGCAGTGATTATCTTGAATAAAGGCTTTGTGAATTTTGTAAATTTCAGAAACTTCCGAGACTTGTGAATTTTACTTCCTTCTGTTTTTTCCATTGATTTTCTGAGTCTTAATGAGTTTCTTCTCTCTTGGATGTACTTTGAGGCGGGATGATAATTACACAACAGTGTCCTTTAAAAGCTCTACTACTTCTCAATATTGTCACACTGAGGACTGAGCTTTTAGTGTGTAAACCTTTGGGGGATACCAGTAAGGATAAAGAAAGTGCTGAGAATGAGGGGAAAAAATGTGTTAGTTAATTCCAGGCACATTTTCTATTAAGAATCAGATCATGCGCCTTGCTGGGCAGCTGTTGGCAGTTGATGACTTCTGGAGAACAGAGAGTCAGTTTCTTTAAGAATGTGGCCCCAGATAGATAGACTACACACCAGTGGATGGCCCCACACTCAGAGTTAGGGCAGCACTGATTACATAAGAGAAGACACAGTTGGGAGGCAAAGTTTAAGGGTAAATCTTGGAGAAGTTAGGTGGAGGAGGTCCAATATGATCAAAACACTTTGTATGAATATATGAAATTGTCAAAAATAGTGAAGAATTATATTTTTAAAATGAACAACAATAAAATCAGATTAATAGCAACCATTTAGACATCATTCCACAACATGCTGGCAGTGTTAACACACTTAGGGCTGACCTGTAGGTGCAGACTACTAGAAAAGGTCCACGAAGAAACAACCAGCAGTTTTACTTTGGATTTCTTAGCTGGTTCAAGAAGTTTGCCATTATTAGCCCAGCAGAGCAGTTTATGTCATCAGCACTGAACAGGCCAAATGTAAAGGCCATGGCGCCAACACCCCCATCTGCTGATCAGAGGCTGTGATTATTAGCCTCCTGATGGGAATTCAGTCCTGTTGAGGTCAACAAGCGTTTATATAGAAAGTCAGTGTACATCATGTAGGTCCTGGGCCAGCTCTTTTTTCAGATAGTTGTGATTTAATTTAAGAGTCATTTGAAATGAACTACTGTAACAGTGATATATTTTTAGTTCCTTGGAACCTTGGTTCTCTAAAATAAAAAAAATGGAAGCAGCATAATCAATATGCTGAAATGTCAGGGAACAACAATGATCAATTGTTGGCACGAGACATTCTCTGAAATGAAGAGACTTGCCTGTCTGCCACTGCTAGCAGTCACAGATGAGGACAGAAAAGGAGACAATCTCCTTTATCTTTCTGGGGAGAGTTTCATAGATGGCAGCTGTCTTAGTTAGGCTTTCTATTGCTGTGAAGAGACACCATGACCACAGCAACTCTTAGAAAAAGGGAACCTTTAATTGGGGCTGGCTTTCAGAGGTCCAGTCCATTATTATCATGGTGGGACATGCGCCATGCAGGTGGACATGGTACTGGAGAAGGAGCTGAGAGTTCTACTGTGGCACTGACCACACCCATTGGGGGGTGGAGCCATGGGCGGAAGTGACCTGTGGAAGGAGGTCGGAGGGGGCCAGGAAAGGCTCTCTTTCTGGCGTGACTCGGACAGGAGAGGGTCGGGTTGAATTTCCTGGTGTTTAATCTGTCTAGGTTGTAAGTTATTTCTCCCTGAATAAACATCTATTTGGCCTATTTGTTTATCCTGATCCTTTTTTACCGCGATATTCTACATCTTTGGTCTCCAGAAATAGGAAGTGAACTGAGCTTGAGCAAGAAGACCTCAAAAGCCCATTCCCACAGAGACATACTTCCTCCACAAGGCCACACCTACTCCAACAAAGCCACACCCCCTAAAAGTCCCACTCCCTATGAGTTTATGGGGGCCAGTTTCATTTAAACTACCACAGCAACTAAGGGTAGCTGTAAGGTAACTGTTTTCTAAGCTATTGAAAATCAGTCTGTACTCATTGTTTTCTTAAAATAGGTCATTATACCACTATCTGTTTATGAAATCACAGGGACCCTAAAAGTAAATCACTATATAGTGTCAGCTACTAATGGATGCTTTGAAGAAAACTGGTGTCAGGGAAGGCAAGAGATGGATGGTTATGGGGTGTGTGCTGCTTTAGGAAGCAGTGTGCCATGACACTCTCATTTCTAGGACTTCCAGCTGGACAGCTTTCCTTCAGAGATCTTGGCAGGTTCTGACCAGGGTCCTGGCCGCCTTTCAGTAGGCCTTCCTCCAGCCAACCCTCTGAAGCATATTGCGGGGATGAAAGAGACTCAATAAAATCCATTGATAGGTCTTTTTCCATCAGACATCTTTGTAATACTTGCTGTGTGCAGTTCAGGCTGAAGAGGTTTTTTTTTTTAAGAAACCTCTTCCTATCTGATATAAATTTTCAAATCAGGGACCAAATCATTTTATGTAACGAGGGGTGCTTCTAGTCCTCTTCCTAACACATACTGCTTCCTGATTTGTCCATCTCTGCTTACTTCACTAGAATGTTAGTTCCACGATGACTGGACTTCGTTCTAGTCATTGCTTAATGTCAGTCACACAGCACAATGCTGAATACCAAAGAGATTCTAATAATCATGTGTTGAAGAGATGCATTGCCATATGCTATATGAACAAACATGTTAAACCTAAGTCATTTTTTCTTTTACAATGATGTAGAAAGTCATGAGACAGAGTGTGGAATTCTTTACACAGTTGCTACATAGCTTAGAATCCCAGCCTTGCATTTCTTTATTCCTTGAAGGGCAATCAGCAGCTCCTGTGCTGTCCATTTCTTGCTAAGGTGTTTAACTCAGTTTATAGTTTCACAAAATGGATCATGATACATAAGTAGGGTGACTGTCCTTGCTCACTTCAGTATCTGAAAGTCAGTAGGCTCTTTATGTAGAACTGGAAATATTGTATCTATTAACTATCTAGTGTGGCAAATTTCACAATCATTTAAGTATCAGTTATTTTCTAGTATCACGGATGAGGACAAAAGTGATTTGGTGACAGTGGGTACACTGTCTAGTCTAGTGAACTTGGGCAGTTTTGTCCAAGGAAGTGAATTTTGAGCCGAGGTGGTATCATTAAAAAAGACCAGGCTGTATGGGGAGCAAAAACTTGTGCTTTATTCTAAGAGCAATAGAAACAATAGCTTTCTCTCTCTCTCTCTCTCTCTCTCTCTCTCTCTCTCTCTCTCTCTCTCTCTCAATCTCTGTGTGTGTATGTGTGTGTGTATGAGAGAGAGTGTGTGTGTGTGAGAGAGAGAGAGAGAAAGTGTGTGTGTGTGTGTGTGTGTGTGTGTGTGTGTGTGTGTGTGTGTTGCTGGGGTCATACTGGATTGGCAATGATGAGACAGATACTGGCCCTGAGGCTTTAATGAGAACAGATAGATGGTCATGGCCTCATTTCTTGAGAGTAGAAAGAAGTGGATGTGTTTCAGAGTTTTAACAGACAGAGTAAGTAGCTGGTTGAGGGCAGTGAGGGAAAGAGAAACATTAGTTATGAGGTCAGCTTACTAGGCTAGATAACTGAGAGGATCCCAGGCCTTTCACAGAGACTAGAGAAGCTGAGGGAACTAGCTGAGGAGAAGCAAGCATGGGGTGCTTGGCTATCTACAGCAAAGCTGAGTATTACAGTCTCTGCTATCTGGATGAATCCTTTAAAACCCAGTACCTATAAAGAAGTAATCAACTGGTACTGGGAAATTAGTTGTATTAAGATTAAATCTTTTCCCTGTGATTTTTGTTTTCATTATTAGTGTGTTTATTTTAATGAAGGAAAAATAACAAAATTATTTGCATAAGAAATGCTATACTAAAACAAACAAATACAAAACAAAACCTCTGTGGAACAAAAAGCTAACACCTTCATAGACAAAATGTAAGCTATATCCAGTGAAAATAAATGATTTATTCTGAACAGAAGACCACAGTGACAGAGGCCACTAGTGTGTGTGTGTGTGTGTGTGTGTGTGTGTAGGGTCTTGTCACCTGGAAACTTATGCTTATCATTCAAAGCAGGTCCTGTAGGTAGTGTCTAACATCTACACACTCATGTGTCCTTAGCCTACAGTACAACATTGGTCCCTAAAAGGAGCTTGGGATGGGTATTGTTTTAGATATGCTATTTATATATTAGATTTGAATACATTAATATTTTCAGAAATTATTATACAATGACAGTATTTATACCATCTTGCTTTTTAGGTCGATTGGGGTCAACTGGACTATTTAGTTGTTGACATGCCACCAGGAACAGGAGATGTGCAGTTATCAGTTTCACAGAATATTCCTATTTCAGGTAAATCCTAAAAATTTGATTTCTTTCTTTGATGTATTACTGTTACTCTACATAAGAATAAACTATATCAGAAAACTTTGTGTCTTAAAATTATTTATAAATTGGTCATGAGTGATCAGAATTATGTATTGAACTTTTGATGATACATATGTATATTTCTAAAAGCAAATGGTACTTTTGAAGGTAATAATAAATCTGTATTGTAGAAAAATTTAGATGTATTTAGGTAGGTCATGGCTATTTGCACATGTTGACTGTTGTCCAAATCTTAACAGCAAAGTGTTAACAAAATCCCAGAAAATACTAGTTAATGAAACTGAGTAGCAATAAGTTTTAGGAAAATTGGCTTTTTGGCAAATATAATTTTGGAAAATTTCTTTTGTTTTAAAGACAAGAGAATAAAGATAATAGCTTATTTGGTCAAGTGTACAATATATAACAGTGAATGGAATGTAAAAATTGGTAGTTTTTATTTTTAATCTATTTCTAAAACTTCCTCTGGAACAATTGCAAATGTGTGCACATACTGGGCCTCTAGGAAGATAACGGAAATTTAAAATATTTTTGCAGATGAATTTTTATGGGTTATTTCTGCTTTGCCATTGCCATTTAATTATCAAAAGGCTTAAATCTAGGTTTTTGACAAGCTGTAAATGTCTTTGTTACTAGTATGAGAGCCTTGTTAATATGGGTATTAAACATTTTAATGTGTTTGTTTTCTTAATTGAGTATTCTGGTAAGGCAGGTTATAAAGGACGAAACTGGTAAAAGGGGAAAATAACAATAGTTTTTCTTTAAATGATTGCTCTATCATGTAGTGTGCCTTTCCTTTTTTAAAGTAGAGGAGTTCACTGATTGCTTCAAAGTCCCACATTTACAATGTGTTGTAGCTGAAGTTTTCATCAGTTCTGACTGGGTTTAAAGCTTGTGGTTGGAACCTCTGCATCAAGGTCCCTGGTCTGAGTCGTGGTTTGTTGAGTTCAGCCTCAGCCCCTCCAACTCATTTCAGCTGCAGTTAAGCTAATGTCAGTGATTCTGTGATAAATTACATTTACCATGAAGGTGTCAACTCTGTGGCCTATGTCTTATGCATGCCAGCATTGACATGAACAGCGAAAAGACTCTGTTTTCTCTAGTGAGTGTATGTTGATCTTATAATTCAAGAGAGAGATGTGGCTGGTAGAACTTGTACTTTGTACATGTGAGATCTTGGGTTTGGTCCTCAGAACAGGGAGTAGGGGTATCAAACAACAAAATACCCTGCCAAAATGACACTCAAGGGAATTTGGGGGACTGTGTGATCATTTCTCTATGTATTAAGATGTTTGTTCAAGTCTAGTTTTGAAGTTTAGTTTTATTTTGGCCAATGCTATTTCATAGCAAGCATATCTAAGAAGACACCAGAAGTGGACTGACCCCAGGAATTAGTTTCTGGCTGTCATCAGTTTGTATTATCTGGAACAGCCTGTCAAAGTCATGTTTGCCCTTCAGTTTTATCAGTTGCCCTTCAGAATTATCTCTTCTCTAATTATAAACCTAGTTTCCTTTTCCTTTTCATCACTGACATTAAAACTCTTTTAAGACACTCCGTTCTTAACTGTTTCTTCTGTTCTATATGCCTCTAAGTCACAAATCCTTTAGACCTGTGTCATGTCTGTGATTAAACTTTCTGTAAATCCCTTCACATAAGGTGAGATCCCATCCCAAAAACATGTATGCCAACTGCCCATATCCTCACAGCCCCTCACTTTCTTCCCTTTGCTTCCCTGAATCTGTGTCTCTATGCACATTCATTCAGAATGTCTTCCCATTGCAGTCAGGTGCATGCCCGAGTCCTGAATTACCTTTAAGAGCCATGTGTTCTAAATGCTCAGTCCCTGTCTTGTCCCCAGCTCCTCCCTGGATAGGCATCATTTGCTTGGACTACTCCCCAGCACTCAGATTTTCTCTTCATTTGAAGCCTGCACACCTGTGCTGCACCGGTCTCCTCCCTAGATCTGTTTCATTCACCTTTGCACTTCCCATGGAACCAAACCCACTGCCTTCCTGCAAATGGGGCATCAGTGAATGGATGCTTTGTCACTGTAAGTATTTATTACCTTTCCAGTTAGGTTATAAACCGCTTGAATGCCATTTTTTTTTTTTTTTTTTTTTTTTTTTTCCTGTTCAGCCTTGTGTCTCTTAGATTACTTGGGCAGTAGCACCTACAGGTAATGCTGACAGTGCTAGGCTGAGCAGTTATCACTGTCCCTGTGAAAAGCTCCCAGCCCCTTTCTTTATCTTTTCTACCAGTTTACTTATTGTTGTGATTCCCTGCCCCCACACCACACTGATTTCACTAAATAATTCTTCTATGTGTAAGTTAGACAAAACATTCTTTAAAGTCAGAAAGAAAAATCATTCCAGCTAAGGATTTTGTTTTGATGTAGATGGCATCTGTGGGCTGTTGATGCTGTTCACTCTCCCCTTTCTTGTTGTGCTGGGATGGGGAGGGGCTTGTCTTCCTTTCATTACTTGTAGGCTCTGTATTCAGTGGCGGTGGGATTCACTAGCATTGTTCCATTCTGAGGAAAGAAGCTTACTTCTGCCACGATGCTAATTATTTCTGCTTGCACTCTTTCCTAAGGAACCTTGCCTGTCCCACAATTTATAAGGATAAAGTGAGGTAATATGAAAGCTATTATCTAAATCCATAGTACGTTTTTAGAAACAGCTTACATGCTTTGAAGGGGGTATTTGCTGAGGGGGTTGCTGTGTGATCAAATGTCCCCCACAAAGACACACGTACTACAGGCTTGGTCTCAGCCTGTGCCTTTGTTGAGAGCTGGCTGGGTCATGAGGGTGCTAGTGTCATCAGTGGCCTAATAGCCACCTTACCCTTCAGCTCTCTCTGCTTCCTGGCCACTCTGAGGCAAGCAGTTTTGTTCCCCTCCCCCTGCCAACACTGCTATGTCTCACAGTAGTGCAGAACTAGCCAGAACAAATGGCTACGGGCATAAATAAATTCTTTTTAGTTGTTTTTCTCAACAACTTTGCCATGGTGGCAAAAAAGCTGACTGATGTAGAACATTACTGAAATGTTGTGAATGGGAGTCTATGTCAAGTTCACGTGGCTCCAGTCCATGTTGGCAACAAAGTAGATGTTTTATACTTGGAAAGAGGCATTGTTTTGAAAATTCATAGCAGACCTGTACAAGCAAAAAGATCCTTTCTTTAACTGCTAATTAGCAACTCTTTGTATGTGTTCCATTTTGTTCTGTGGGTAGATGATGAGCTCAGTGTTAAGAAGAAACTTCAAAGAAAAAAATTACTCTCTTATTTGTGTTCAAGTGTTGTTCAGCGGCAGCAGTGAGTTGACGGATACATCAGTGAGCAGTCATGTAAATCTGAGTTTACATGGAGTGCTGAGTCATACATACTGTAAATGCAGACCAGAAGTTCCTAGATATAGTCTGAAGGGAAGAGAAGAGGTGGGATAAAGGATGGGGAATGAGATCAAGACTTTATCGATGCTCTTGTCTTACTGAACTTGACAAGAGATGGCATTATTACCATCTCCATTATGTTTCTTATCTTTTTATTGATAACACAGCTTACTGCGCTTTGTTTGGTAGTTTATTTTGTAAAGTGTTTGTTTCTATGTCTTGGGTCGGGTTGATTGCAGAGTCAAATTCTGATTTGTTCCCAAGATGTATGCTGATGCTCTCTAGGAGTTATTGATGGTCTAATTATTTTCCATCATGGAAGAGAGCTAATACTTCTCTGAGAGGCATTATACTTTTCTTAACAATTTTGAAAACATGTACAGTGTTCTAGTTTTCAAATTCTCATAGATTTTTCATTTACTCTTGGCATCAGCCGAAGTCCTCTAAGTGTCCATCTGAAGACTGTCCTAGCTTTGGTTTAACTCTAGAATTAAGCAAAGAGTTTATGCTTCACATTTAGTATGTGAAACGTGCTTTCTTTTTCCAAGGATTGAAGTCTTAGTAACTTAAAGTGCTATATAATCAGATGATGCATCTTAATTTAATGAAGAGTCTACAGAGCTGCTGTAAGCAGCAGCATTATTGACACTAAAAGATGATGACGCTCCCAGGAACTAATGGCAGGAGTTCTCCCTGCTCTTCTACCCGAGAAGGCAAGGGAGTGAAGGGTGTTAGTACCCTGTAGTCTTAGAACCCTTGAAGGAGGTGCTTCATGGAACTCCTAGGACCACTGCAGGGTAGGAAGGAAGTCTGTGAGGTAAGACCCCAACATCTTTCCTCCCACAGTCTCATCTCCTGCTGGTCCCTGCCTCTGGCACACACCCTTTGTGAGCCAGGAAGTAAGGAAGCTCAGCGAAGACTGGCCACAGAGGTCAGCTCCCAGGCCACTGATCACGACATTAGTGGATGGAGAAAGACTCTGGGCAGACTGATGGGGGAAGGAGTTGGCGAGGCACTCACACCGCATTTATTCTTTGTGCTCCTCATTTCACTGCGTATTAGTGGCCAGACACAGACAAAATGGTAAGCAACGGATGGGATTTATGGCCTTGGAAAGCTTACAAGCTAACAGAGACACCAGTAGTACAGTCAAATCAGTAAAATGCTATACTCAAAAACAAAATTATACTGTCATCCATCTTATGTCCAGAATATTTATATTGTAGATAAAACTGAATCAGGTTTATTTTTGTATGGTGCAGAATAACAGATGTAAAAGTTTATTTTGACTGGATAGAGTTGGGGGGAAATCACTTAGTGTGATAGTGAATGTATTGTCAGGTTAACATTTATCTTCACCTTATTAAGTAAAGATTAATAGAGAAATAAAATATTGGGAAACTATTCAAATAGCAGAAGGGACAAAGGCCAGGTGGCTGAGGGAGAGCCATTGCTCATTCTTTGTTCACAGAAGAGAGCCATGCGGGCTCTACTGTGAGTCCTGTTTTGATTTCTTATCTCCTGGTCCAGGAGGAGCTGCTGTGTGTGGCAGGGTAGTCAGCTAGCTAGGATTCT